ACCTAAAATGACCTTAAGTGGCCTAACATGACCTTGAGTGATTTCTAAACTGTCCTAAAATACCCTAGAATGATTTGGATTGGACCGGAGCAGATGGGATCGGATCACGGATCGGATAACGGACTTGGTCAGGGATAGGATCACGGACTGAATCACGGATCAGATCACGGATCATGGATCGGATCATGCAAAATAAAATTAGGAATTTTGCACGACAAGCCAAAATAAAGTCTACGTGACAAAATAGATCGTAGGCCTCTCTGTGAATTTTTTTTTTTGCTCAAAAAACCCAATGTAGTCACTTTCAGGGCTGTGTGGACGAAGGTAAGCTACAGGTATGTATCATTTCATTAGTCAGTTAAGAAAAGCGCGACACACTCCACAATCGCTTCTTAGGGTCCTTGAGCTTCTTCCATTGCTAGCGCGTTAGGCATGTTGGAAGCCATAGTTCGCAAACTGATCGACCTAAGTGTTCCACATTGCAAGGTCAAAGTCTCCGGCGCAATTTGAGACGCGTGACCTCCTACTGATCCCTACGATATTCAACCAACGAGAAGTTATTTTAGTGACATTTGGTTTGTCACGAACTCCTCTCAATAACATTTGCGTTTTGCGGCTGTTCGAGATCAGGAGAGCCGCTCAGATCGAAGAAAAACCGAAAAAAAATTGGAAAAACCCGTTTGAATTTTTGACGGAAACCGAAAACCAAATCAGTGCTAGACCACGTAAAATCTGCTAACCGAAACGAACAATCCGATCCGATCCGATCCGGTCCGATTAGGTAATTTTAGAAACCACTCAAGGTCATTTTGGGTCATTTTAGGTCGTTTCGGAAATCACTCAAGGTCATTTTAGGTCATGTTAGGTCGTCTTAGGTCATTCCTGGTTTAGTAACTACCATAGAGGCTGATATTGCGCGTTGGTAATATATAGTTATTGTAGATTTTTCCTCCTTTTGTAATTGCAGTTATTTGACAAATTTCTGCATCTTTAACTGGGGAAGTTGTCTTTGTGTCGAATAAGACAAATTGATATTTAGCTGCGTTGTTTAAACAAACTTTAGGTTGTGCTGGGCGTTTTTGAATGGTTGTACCATCCTTTCGTATTCTGAAAACCTGGGTTTTAGCGAAGACAAAGTTGACTGAAGTAATTATATAATGGAATCATTTGCTGTTATGTCCAAATTTAGACTAACACTAGTTTATGCGGTGCCTTCTCTAGCCTCACCTCTGCTGTTTGCACTCAATTTACCACGATGTAGTTGTGATCGTCGTTTCTTGAATAAGGTTAGTGAAAACGTGCACATAAAAGTAACCAACTCGTGATGAAGCGACACCCCAGAGTAGTTTGTATGCTTCTTTTAAGAAGGTCTCAATTCACCGCCAGAGTTTTTTATCTAATATCTTTTATCTAATGTTTATACGGATGTGTCGCTGGCGACAACTTGACATTTTTTATCAGCTGAATTGATATATGTGACAAAGAGCTCAAATATTTTATATTAAAAATTTAGCAAGAGTACCATGTAGCAAATTTGTGATAAATGTTTTATCTAATAGATGTTTATACTGAAGTGTCGCTGGCGACAACTTGACATTTTTTATCAGCTGAATTAATATATGTGACAAAGAGCTCAAATATTTTATGTTAAAAATTGATTAAGAGAGACGTAGCAAATGTGTGATAAATGTAGTGACAAAAGGCAGGGCATTGTAGGGCATGTGTCACTAATTTGCATCTAATATGTAATATCGCTCTTTCAAAAAGTGTTTGAACAGGAGGCAGATGATTCTGAAATACTACATATCAAATTTTCATGGCTTTATTTCTCCTATCTTGGTTTTTGAGCTCGTAGGTCCCCTATCGACAAATGCGAGAACAAGCGATATTATAAAGCTCAAGGGAAATCTTTAAAAAAATTGGGCGTTAAGGTTTAATCAGGTTAGGACTCACAATACATCCGTTGATAATCTCACTCTCCTTTTCCAGAAACGTTGTAACTTGAAAAAACCACTCTGCACACTGACAGACTCTTTCATAGCCAGGGGGCCCGACTTTAAGTGAATCTGACGCATATGTACTCGTGCTGGTTCTACATGCAGACTGAAGGATATTACTTCACTTTAATCAATTTTGAAAGGGATATCGGAGCCGTGATTATGGATGGTAACCTCAGCAAGTACAACTGACATGATTTCAGTTTTACTTTAATTTGAAATAAATGGTAACTCAAAACGATTACTTTTCCTGAAATCGTCTCTCATGTAATTATGTATAATTAAATATTGCCACGAAAAAGCGAACTAAAAATGGAAACGAGCGAGGAAGATTCATTTTGTATTCGTCGGCTGATCGATCATCAATTATGACACATTTTTAGGATGAAACACTTTTTACAAGTAAGCTATATTTATGGAAACAAACGTTATGGAGGTGAACATATCAATTAAATTTGCGTTTAACGGATAGCTAAAATTCCTACTATTTCGAAATCACACCAATATCCTCTAAAGTAATTTTCACCCGTATTAATAAAGAGAAAATTTGACCAAATCGTCCCAAATATTAGATCAAAATATGATTAATCGGCTTTCCAGATCGTGCTTTTTTGCATTTGTGAAATTGTTTGCCATTAAGTATTTGTCGTGATTTCTTAGCTTTGATTGGATAAGGTCATTTTTCATTTCTTTGCAAAAAAGAACAGGAAACTGTCATTGTTGCTGTATTTACTTTAATTACAATATGTGCTTGTCTAATACATCGAAAATCCACTTTAAAAATAGCAATCATGGCATGTTGGTGTTCAATGTTATCGTAGAACGTGATTATTCAATTTCACCTGTTCTTCGCTAGAGAGCCGGTAAAATAGCGCTCTCGACAAACTAAGACACAATTCCTTTCGCCTGGTAAGTCGGCGGTAGCTCACATTTCCTCACATTTTCCTTCTATGGAAAGGAATCAAATGTAAATAACTGATCGAATCTATAAGATGCATATACAGCGAAATTGAGAATATCATAACAACCTCCTTTCGATCTTCCTTTATCTACAATGGAAACGACCTTCAAAGTACTATTCATCATTGCTATCGCTTCAAATCTTGTTGGAAACATATCGGTCATCTTCGTGATTTTATTACACAGGAGAATGCAGACTCCAATGAACTGTTTGTTGGCCAACTTAGCCCTGGCTGACTCAATGGTCGGTCTTTTCTTGATCCCAAGAACACTTCTTAATGATTTATATACGCATCCCGGTGGTTGGGTGGGAGATTTGTTATGTAAGATGTTGACGCATGCATGTTTCACATATCTGGCTGCTGTGGCTTCAATGCTGACACTGATGTTTATTGCATGGGAAAGATACTACGCCGTGATTTATCCCCACAGCTCAAAGGGCAGAATAAATGCAAAGAAACTCCGTCTTTTAATCGCTTTGAGTTGGATTATTGCGTGTGGTTATGCTTCCATTGAGTTCTGGATTATTAAGTTTGACGAAAATAAGAACTCGTGCATTTACGACTGGTCAGAAACGTTGTGGAAGATTGATGTGTTCGTCTGGTGTATCGTCCTGAGCTTGGTACCACTTGTAATCCAGGTGGGATTGTATGTAAGAGTGGTGCATCGCCTATGGGGAAAACAAGCTCAAGTCAATGAAATCTCTCAGCGCTCACTGATGATACAGAGGAAAAAACTGACGAAAACTATCATTCTCATATCTTTTATTAACATCATTTGTAGGCTTCCAATTGATTTCCACTACTTTTTGTCTACGTTTGCTGGCGAGACCTTCACTACAGCAGAATGGTGGGTACCTATTTCTTTCTCTGTCAGCCATTTAATGCTCGTTCTTAACTCTGCTGTTAATCCAGTCATATATGCTGCTCAGGATCGTGAATTCAGACAACACACAGTGCGCTTATGGATGAACAGATGTGGCCGAGGTAGAAGGGTGATGGACACCACGAGTGCTCTAGAGTTTACGAAACCGTCATCCCGTTAACTAACGCGTTTGGACAGTAAGATGAGATTGTCAAATGTGTTCACTCAAATTTAAAGGAAGAGTGTTTTAATTGAAGGGTGATAGACACAGCAAGCGCGTTGGAATCAGCGCAACCATCTGCCCGGTAACTGTTAATAGCCAAGTATGCTCACAACAGCGACAAACTATTTTCGGTGTCGAGAGATTACTTAAAGTGCCATCACAAATTTTGGTTTCCAAGTATTCTCCAATTTGTTTATTTCTGTCAGCATTACCCTGTGTAAGCAGTGTTTAGTTTCAAATGAAAATTACTTCTTCTGGAATTGATAAACTTATTTTTTTAAAATTGAGCGTTGAAAAATATAGAAAAATGGCTCAGTGAAAGGATTACTCTCTATTTAGATTATCAATACTGTCATTAATCCAACTAAATAAATATGACAGGAAGGTCGAGTTACTTATGTCTCCACCTCGGCATTTATTCTTTCTCATTCGATGCTGCGACAGCCAAAGATAATGAAAGGCACACTTCTTAACTGCACGAGACTACGGTGTTGTTAGGAAGGGTTGTCGCTAACTTTAAGAAGAGAAACCGTGATGAAAAATCTAAACGTATCTTTTTGGGAATGCCTTACTTCCCGAAATGAGAGACAAAATAGAGCTGTACCCCTTTGTTAGTGTGGTGCCACAGATATAGTCACTTACCCTCGTCTATCCGATCACACCGTAACCCTGGGGATCTTTGAAAAAAGAAAAGCTCCGATCCCTGAAAGTGTGGTTCGATTCCTAGTGGGTTACTCAGATTTTTTCCTCGTTCCATGTACATGACAACTGCATAAATCATTTTCGCCATTCGATGATTTATCATTATTGTTCACGATTACGTAGTCACATCAAACCTAGCGGCTTAGCCACACAGTAACTTTTTTTACAAAAAACAATTCTTGATTAACCGAGGGCTTGGCTAGCTGGTGTTGTACATCATTTTAAAAGGAAAGTGCTTTAATTGAACAGAAAAGTCACGTCATCTTCTTTAATTTATTTGGCCTTTTCCATATAGACGCACATTTTTTATTTGTTACCGGAGCTGAGATAAACTTCATACGATTGTCTTTCCCTTCTGAGTCTGCAAATAAATAGAGAACTAATAAATAGCAGGTGCAGACCTCTTTAGTGTTTTACGTAACAACCTCATCTACTCACTGTTCGGACAAATTCTTCAATTTTTTAAGGGTTGGTATAACGTTTTTGGTGTAACACTTCGGATTGGTATTCTTTCGAAAATTAATCTCGTACTCAAGAAGCCGTTCATTTTACAAATAATCCTAATTTGGTCCGAAGTAAGCGCTTCGTTTCACTGCTTGAACTACAAAGTGTGTTCATTCAGTTACTGCGCGCGATCAAAAAGCGTAAGTATTTTCGGTGCATACTTTCGATAATGAATAACTATATTTAAAGACGCACAAAACCATCAATTTGTGAAGTTACAGGCTAAGAAAGCCAGCAAAAACCAAAGATGAAATCTATAGTGCTGCAGTTTTTGTTGGGCACTCCCTTAACGTAAACATTCTCATGTTTTAGTGTTCACATTTTGCGACTTACAAAAATCATTGAGAGGTTTCTAATGGTCAGTCAGTTAAAATAACTTAAATGGTAGTAAACATTGTGTAAAGTCAGGGTCTGCAAAAAAAGATAACAAAAACACACGAGCAAGAAACTTGTTGCGATTTTGAACCATTCCCCTCTCCTAACAGTGAAAAAGACGCATGCGTGTGTTATATCTTTACCTTAAATATTACTTGGGCTGAATCCAGTTTCATATTTCATTAATGTCCGCTTAATTAATAATTTTTCTACACTTCAACGTAAGAGTCAACGTAAGAGTCAATCATCTACATCACTTTGCGTAAGCTACCATGACAACATTATCTCCTCTGAGAAACAGCTGGTTAATATGACGATGTTTAAACACCAAACACTTGTTACGACCAATTATAACCGTTTTTAGCTGAGGGCTGTGTAGTCCATCGATGCTTTTCTGGGAATTATCTGTATATCCGCTCTTTATGTCATTCTCGCCACGTTTCAAGTTAGACAGGGGAATCTCAAATTTTGAAGCCTCCATTGGAAGTTTTGACCGACCTTTCTCTTCCGATTCCCGACGCAGTTTCTTGGCATGGTGCAGTTCCGTGTCATTACTAGTTCTCCGCTTCCTGGTACTTCCCGTCTCACCACGTTCAAGTTGAACTTTAGTTTTAGAGGCAAAATTTGCAATAACGTTTTTAGCAATCTTTCTGGACGCCTTTCGTGGAGAAACCTTAACTGTGGTCTTAACCTGTTTCAATTCCCCCTTTCTATTGTCGTTCCGCTGTTTTACCGCATTAGCTATCATTCGTTTTGATTCGTCTCTCACTTTAAGATTACTCGCAGACTTACTTTGCTCTTTGGGTTGTGAACTTAAGACACGTGAGCTTGCCATCTTACGACCGTGTTTATCACTCCCACTATTGCACTTAGCATGAGTCGAGACAACGGCTTTTGTCTCACTCTCCAAAGGACGCCCTAAGCTTCTCCCGTCGGATGAATCCGATAAGTGATTAACTACGTCGTTGTTTCGATGAGCACGCTTCCCATTTGAGTCCCTACTCTTCGGATCTTGCATCCTAACATGTTTAGGTAAACGTTTAGAGACTGATACTTGGGAACATGCTTTAGTTTTCATTTTCTGCTCGAGAGTTTCAGAATCTTTCGCTAGTTTCTTATCTTCTTTGATGTAACTGTTCTTCAATATCGGCGAGCCACGAGTGACTGTCGATTCCTTTGCCTTAACTTTTGGTTTATGACTTTCAAAACTGCGTGAATTCCCTCCGTTTTCCTTAAATTTTGACTCGGGTGAAGAATTTGGAGCAGTTTTATTCGACTTAAGCTGGGAGTTGTGAGAACGACCCTCAGTTTTGCGTCTTGAGTTTGTGTGTCTAACTTTGTTCTTTGTTCTATCATCATCGTCCTGTAGAGAAATGCTTTTTCTTTCTTTATTTATTTCCTCCTTTCCTCTTACATGGTTCCTTTGTCCATTACTCACTGGGTTACAATCAGCGGAAGACCCACTTCCTCTTAAATGCTTTCCTGTTTGTCTCCTCTTTGTCTGAGAAGATCCGCTCAATGTAACTTCCTTTTTGCTCGTTTGATTCACAGCTTTAAAGCCATCTTGTTTAACTTTTTCCAGATTTCCCTGATTTTCAGCTGATTGTGTTCCACGGAGACGATCATGAGTGCCACTATCGGGAGAGCCACAGACTAAAATTGATCGCTTTTTTCTTATTTGACCTAACTTTGTCCTCAAATCTGAGTTTTTAGTGGAAGACAAAGAGGCTCCTCCATCACATCCTGAATTTCCAGGTTTTCTGGACTTTTCTTTAGATGATTTCTGGCGCAATTCAGTTGACGACTGGCGCCTTGTTGAGCACAAGTCTTTTTTTATTCTTCTCAATTCACATTCGCCTTCACTCACTTTACTTTTGCAACGAGCTGTTTTTTGGGTTCCCTGTGAAGAGGCATCAAGAGCCGCCTCTAGATCGGAATCAGAAGAAGAAAGTTCACCTTCTTCTCTACCTTTTTCACTCTGCCTTTGATTCTCTGAAGCGCCTTCTTCCTCGGAAGTAATTTCACCTTCTTCCTTATCATCACCCTGAACCTCCTTAGATTTATTCGTCTCTTTTGGGATAGAAACTCCTTTTTCTTCTTTCCTTTGTTCATCGGCAACAGGCTTTGCCCCACATTGCAAAGACGGAACTTTGCACCTGTACGTCAGATGGCCAATCTTCCGATACTCTGAAGTGGCGTTAAAGACAGTCCCTGCTTCCCTGTCTATCTTGTCCTCTTCAGTACTAGCCACATCACAAGTAGCGGGAGAAATTAAGTCCCCTTTACTATTCTTGGTAGAGGATCTACAATTGCAAAGATTCTCTGGCGATTCTGGGAATTCATCTTCTTCAGCTTTGTAAAAGGGTTCTAGCTGGGTGACTTTTTCCATCGCATTCTGGAAGATACTGTCAGTTTCGCTTGCACTGTTTAAATAAGTCCTGTAGATACTTCCTTTAAGCTGGAAGTCTCGCACAGAGCAGATAGGAGAGGAAGAAGAAGATGAGATTTCTTTTATACCCTTAGTTGTTTCGGTAGTTGTGGTGACAATAACGGATTGACTTGTGAATGATGTGTCGTTAACTTGACAATCTCTTCCACAAATAGCCTGTGAAGTCGTCTCTAGTATTTCTTCATTTGCTGAAAAAACACAAGCTGACCTTAATGTACTGTTATTTTCTGTTCTTTCAGACCTTTCTGATGCGACATCCACCGCGGACCGTTCGTTTTCAGTGAAGATAACCGCAGGATTTCCTTTTTCGATTTTTTTAACTTTGGCCTTATCTAGAGAATCCAGAGAATCCAGTTCTAAGCTTCCACCAGTTTCTGTTCGGGTTGAAGTCTGCCCGGTAAGATCTGTCTGAGCATCACGACTTACGTTTTCCAAGTCTGTAATTTCGCTTTCTAAGTGAATTAAACTCTGAAAAGCATGCGTGATATTTCTTCTTTGGAAATTCTCGTCTGTGAAAACATATTTCTCTTGGACGAGCACTGCATCTTCAGTGTTCCCTTTTTCTGCAGTTGTTTCAACTGCCCCAGAGATTTCGTCTACCGATGACAAACCTAGTTCATGTTCAATCACACAAGGTAAAACATCTACAGTTCCCTCAGTGCTAACTGGACCAACAAAATCATCAACTCTCTTTGAGGAGAGTGGCACACACTCGATAGACTCCGGTCGTTTCTCTTCTCTCTTTGCACTTTCCTGTGATTCAAAGCACTCCAAGAGTGTCAAAGGAGAATTTGTTTCAGCCACAACTCGTTCACTTTCTTCCTTGTCATGTTTTACATTATTTTCCTGATTAAGTGAAATGGTTTCATTATCTACCAGGCGAATGTCACGTGCAGTAAAAGGAACTGATGTTTCACTACAGTAAGCTGCTTCGAGAATTCCGCAAAGCTCCAAATTTAATGCTTCAGCTGATGTGTTTTGGTTCTTTTCCTCCAAATTATTTAAGTCTCTAGCATGAACATCGTAAGGGTTGGTTTTCCCTTGCGAAATATTAGATCCGTTAGTGCTTTCAGTCCTATCAATTCGTTCCTCTCCGTCGGTACAATACAAAAGGCAGTCCTCCTTTACTGTCCCCCGACTTACTTCTATTATGAATTCAGGATGGCGAGTCTGTGTGAGTTCTTCCGCGCTACCAATCTGAACGTTCTTTCTGTTACCATTGTCACAGACACTAACACGAGACAAATTTCTTGTCGGGAATTTTACCATTCGAAAATCAGAAGTCCTCTTTGATACTGGATCATCGATTCCTTTAGAATCTTTTGTATCTTCAGATTCTCTACAAACAGAATGTTCATCTTCAGTTCTGAGAGGAGATTGGTGAGCATGATCAACACGATGAAAAAAAGGAGCTTGTAAAGCTATACTCAGGGCTTTTGCTGAAGGTGACGAGGAATCTTCATAACCGTCTTTAGAATTACCGTAACTAGAATGACCTGTATTGCTATAGTCTCCAAAGATGGATTCATTAGAATCGGAGGAAGGTAACCGAGGCTTAATATGTGTACAAGGCAGGACAGTCTTCGTGCCGACCTGATTATCACTAACAAACACTTCATTGGCAGCATCGCCAATAGTGTTCATGGTAACTACTTCTTCCAGCTCACGTGACGGCATTAAAGAGGAATTGTTGTCAGCGGATTCACTTTTCCTCATTTCTTTTGCTTCTTCATTTTCAAGTAGCGAAGCTATCCTTTTCTTCTTTTTCTTCTTTTTTGTTGTTTCGGGAGACATTTGCCGTTCGACACTATCCTCTAGGGTGTACACCTCATCCACATCGAATAGAGCCTGTAATTAAAGAATAAAAATGTTTCGTTCCAAAGTCACATTTTTTCACAAAACTTACAAATTCATCAAGTGAAATCTTCAAGCAACTGAAGATACCAGGAGAAAGACAAAATTTATCTAAAACCCGTCGAGCGATTCGCACTGCAAGCAAATGGAAAGTACTATCAAAAAGTGAGTGGTTATTCTTGATCATGGTGAAATACAATAAAAATTGTAAAAGTAGGTTCTTTTCTTACTGGAATCACTTCCGATGTGGCTCGCAAAGTTTTAACTGCATTCTAGTAGTCTTATTTAGACGCTGAGGTCGTCTGCCTATGCGTCACCTTATATCAAGTTAGCTTGGAAATAAGTAACAGTTGACTCCCAAAAACTCCAACCTCGTGCTAAGTCGAACTAACCTGTTTTCCCTCGCATACAAAAACGGTATCTTTCCCGCAGTAACTCGGAACCAACCCCTCCTCCCCGCCCCCCGATAACTCGGACTTCCTTCCTTCGAAGCTATTGCTGTATATAGTTTTACTCTAGACAACTCGAGCCATGTTTGTTTCTAATTCGAAGGTCGACCTCAAACTGCAGGGAGAAAACTTTTTGTTTAGTATTGTTTTCGTCTTTCACGAAATCGTCGCTTGAAGCACGAGACTTTTCCTTCATCGGGTTCAACCGTACTTGTATCATCCATTTTTAGTTCACTATCAGAGTACGATATTTCACGACTCCCGGTGGAGCTTGCTGAAGACAGAAATTAATCACTATCCAACATTATTGCTGACAACAACAAAATTTCAAAAGATGTACAAGATTTGAAGGCGTGTACAAATTGTAATCATAGTTTTCTACGTGATCACGCGCTAACTCGTTCCCAGTCTTAATTTCGCTTCATATGTGCTTAAATCCTGTCTGATATTGTTGGATGTCATAAAC